CTTATACAGTCAAATAAAATACTGTAAAATATTACAATTTAAAATAACTGTTTTCTATTTTAATATAAATGTAATTTATTCCTATGATGGCACAATTTTCAGCAGCCATTACTCCAGTCTTTAGTGTCACATGATCCTTCAGAAATCATTATAATATGCTGATTTGGTGCTCAAGAATCATATCTTATTATCAATGTTGAAAACTTTGCAGCTTATTATTTTTAGTTAAATATATGACATATATAAATACATGACATTTATTTTTTATTTGTTCAGGTTTATTGATAAATAAAGTTAAAAAGAACAGACTTCATTTGAAACAGAAATGTCTTTACTGTCACTTACTGATCAATTTATTGCATCCTTACTGAAAAAAAGTATTAATTTCTTAAAAACAAAACAAACAAAATCTTACTGGCCCCAAACTTTTGGGTGGTAGCGTATATGTATATTTTGTTATTTTATGAGAATGTGAGTAAACATCTGAGTATAAGTCAAATCATAACTTAATTAGCCAATAAACCTGACTTCTGAATTATTCTGAAATATTGTATTTAATGAGAGATTGCACAGTATTTCATGTCATAAACATTTGTGAATTAACATAAATTCAGATTTTCTGCATTTGGCAATTTTAAGACCAACATTTGCCCAACACAATATAAAAAGTGTTCATTTATAGATCTAATGAGGAGGTCTCAGTGGTTTCACCTGTAATTAGCAGAATATCTCCTGGAAAAACTGTCAGAGCCCAGAAAGCCGCTGTCCTCCATAGCACCACCTTCATCTCCACATCTGATTGGTCTGTGACAATCAGCATTGCTAGAGGCACACTGGTTCCAGCTGAAGCTCCAGTTTTCACTTTGACCTCTTTTAAGTGGCATGGATGCACCACAGCAACCAAGATGGCGTATCGTACACCATGAGTCTTACACCTGGCCAGCAGGGTTGAAGGACCACAGAGGGGTGCAGCAGTAGTTCTTGCCCTCTGCTCTGTTGTTTCTTTAGTTTTACTTACAGACTGAGACAACTTCATCCTTTTAGAAGTAGTGGGACTAGGTGAAGTCTGTTCAAATGTAGTTGGTGAGTCAATATTAAGCCCAACTTCCTCATGATCCACGGGTTTTTCAGCCATAGCATTACCCTGAGAGCAGAGGATGCCGTCAGGTGTGACTTCAAGAATCACCCCTCTCTCCTGCTGTCTTTGGCTTAGACTCTCATTATGCCACTCTCCTGAGCTTTGCAAGGTTCCCGCCAAGCCCCTCTCTTCAGGGCTGACCACAGGACTGTACAACTCTGGGGAACTTATAGATGCTGAGGGCGTTTGTTTGGGAGGGGTGTGTGGAGAACCAAAAAGAAAGTCTTCAAGAAAACCAGAAGTTTGACATCGGGACACTCTACCTCGAAGAAGCAAGGTTTGGGACTTTGTCCATGTACTCAGATACTCAGTCTCTGTTGAAACAGGTGAGGTAGGCCTTCCATCTCTGCCATGTCTATTTAAACTAGTATGTGAGGAGAAGCAACTATCTAGGTATTCTGTCACTAATACAGGACACAACTCCTCTTCTTCAACAGACTTTTCCTTGGATTGAGAGCACTGGCAGCCTGATGGAGTACTATCATCCTGTGATGTTTCCGTTCTGTCCTTTGTACTCTCAGGTGCTCTCTCAGAGGTAACTGCAGATTGTGTTCTTCCACTAACCATCATACCGCATGCATCATCTGTTTGGGCTTCTCTAATGGTGTCCTTGGGAATCAACCTGCCTTGACTCCAAGTGAGGTCCATAGTCTTCCAGTGTGGGGCTGGTCTCTCCTGCACCTCTTCAGCGAGTGCTTGGGGACATGGGGCACCCAAAAAAACATGAATCTTTGGTTTGTTTGCCATTTTCCTGTCCTTAAATTGGACTGATATTGGGCCAGTCATAAGATTGCCAGATTAAAGAGGCCATCTGTAGGAAAACAGAAATGCATACTGTTAGTTAAAACAAATAGACAACAGTTCACAAAATGATTAAAGGCATGCTCAGCTAAAAATGAAAATTCTGTCATCATTTACTCACCCTCATGACTTTCTTCTGCGGGAGACAAAAGAAGATATTTTGAAGAACGTTTCAAATGTTTTTGTCCACACAATGAAAGTCAATGGTGTCCAAAACAACACAAGATCCAGCTGATTTTCATGTATGAATAAAAGAACATGCATGGAAAAACCTTTTTCAAAATATCTTCTTTTGTCTTCCACAAAATAAAATAAGTCACAGAGGTTAGGAACGACATGAGTGGGTGATGATGACAAAATTTTCAATTTTGGGCAAACTATCCCGTGTTGTCCCCAGTGTTTACTAAAACTCAACTAAAACGATTAAAAGCTAAATCATTTTCATTAATTGGAATAATAAAAATATTACATGAAAAAACAAAAATGAAATAAATGTAGGTTTAAGTACTAAAATGACTAAAACTGAAATAAAAATAAAGCTGAACAGAAATATTAAAAAACAATATTATTAAAATAAAAAACTACTAAAAATGCCAAAAGCACAACAATTACTAAAATAAAGTAAAAGTAAAATGAAAACTGAACATACAAAAATAAAAGCTAATTAAAAAGTTAATAATATTGAGAGTATATAAAGAATAAAACTACACTATCCCTTTAAATATGACCAAAAACCAAATATATATCTACACACTGTTGCTAAATTATGCTAAATTACAGTAAAGAAGAACTCCAAGCAAGGTCAATGAGGAAGAAAAGCAGGAATACACTGAAAACTTTCACAGCTGGTGGGAATAACTGAGAGCATTTTAATGTGTCTGTGCAAGTGTGCATTCCTCAGATCAGTTGTTTTCACTTAGCAAAAGAAGAAAAACAGCATTTTAATGAGTGACTCTCCAGAACTTCACCAACCAGATGATGGGTGTAGGCACCACATGAGCCAATAACAGAGCAGCACAGGTTCTTTTAAACTACAGTGTGATTTATTGCAGGCAGAATTTGTAGACTGAGATGGAGGTATGGAGGGGTGGTACTGTCGAAGAAAGAGGACTTAGAGCAGACAGATTTTCTTGCTTTATCTGATTCTCACATGTATTCAAGGTGTATGGGGGAAAAATTTTATTACTTTTTTTTTTTTACTTACACCATCAAATGAAACTTTTCTTGAAAATGGTAAAAAAATGTTTTTCAAAGCCATGTGAAACCAACATGAATAAAAAAAGAGTGCATTTCGAAGAACTTATCACATGTGTCTTATTTATTTTTTATTATTATAATTATGGACACTCTTCCTGTATGTCACTGACACAGAGGTCATGGCATCTTGTACAAATAGTAAGTAACATCATTTTTAATAGCAATAGTATATGAAATATAAGTGTAGTAATCCATTGCTGCTGTCCACTTACTATGATTCTCTAAGGCAATGGAGACATATTGACACATTGAGACATATCCCGGGAGACTGTAAAAAACAAGCACAAATTCCTCCCTGGAAAACAATAAAAAACGCCCTGAAAGAGCTGATCTCCAGAGCAGGATGTAGATCAGGCAGGAACAGATTACAGCAGACACAAAGAAGTTATGAAATAACTCTGTAACCCCAGGTGAAATAAAGGAGTAAATCTGGTTTTGCCACCTTGTAAAGGGAAAATACATATAAGGCACTTTTTAGTGTCATATTTAAGTCATATCTGTTTTTGTGTGCAGAGAGAGAGAGAGAGAGAGAGCACAGAACACAGGGTCATTGCCCTTGATTATCCTTCTGTGCATGTGTCATAGAAGATAAACAACATTCCACCGCCCACCCCCCCCCCCCCAAAAAAAATATTGCTTTTAATGAACATACTATTATATACTGAACAACTGCTAATACTACACACAAAAAGAGAATATTTCTTAATATTAAAAATCAATCTAGAAATCCACTCAAATACTTTTATGTATTTGAGACTTAACTAATTTGCAGAAAGCCATTAAAATCAGAAACTTAATCTTAATCTCTTAATTGCGAGCTTTTGACTCTACTAAAGCATAAAAATACTATACGTTTGCAGATATTTAAGAAACATGCTAAGTTAACATACTTGTTTATCTGAAAAACAATGCTACAGTCAGTTATTATCCTTCGAAAATGTGTGTTCCGGGCCTGAATGTTGGTCTCTAGCTGTTTTGGTTTGTGAAACCCGCCCACTACCAGTTTACCCAATTGTATTTCGGCACCCCGGGTTGCCGGTTGGCGGGAAACACAGCGTATTTCATTCCAGTCATGGAAGCTGGCAAACGAAAGTGTTGGTGTCGTCAATCTGGCAACCTGCGTTTGCGTCAAGTCTGAGAAGGAGGGGCCGAGTGAAAAAAACCCGCTCCAATATTTTGAATTTGGACTGCAATACCTAGTTCAACCACTCGGTGTCAATCCTACATACAGCACCTTTAATGTAGTGTAAATCGCAAATCTTATTTTATTAATAAATCTTAGACCACCATGCTAAAAAAGAACCTCCACAGGGAATCATGGCTCAAAATGCAAATTCTCTTCTGGGTTTTAGGACTACAAAATAAACAGCTCTAGAAATATTGGCATAGGCTTATACATTTATTTCAAAGTTAATTGTGTTATTTATAGGCATCGCAGTCTGTTTTGAAAGCCCTTTTCAAGTGGCATTCCTTTTACACACAAAAAAAATCTCTTTCACAATTTCTTAAATCCACCTCTAGTATAGTCTGTAGTAAAATACCATGACAATTACAGTAGGCTACATACATAGTACCTCAAAGAACCCGCCCCCTCCCCAAATAATAATTTTAAAACGTTTTTTAAAGAGATATTACATAAGTTTAGCCAATATATTTATTTCATAGACAGCAGCAACTTTAATACTGGTTAATATTTGTTCAAAGCGCAGCGTTTTCTTACGAGTTCCTGCTCTCTGAGCGCCTCCCAGCTTGAGGTGGAGACCCACGGCACGCCTGCCGCTTAAAACAACTCACAAACAGTTCTCAAGCTGACACTTTGTTGAGTGGGGGAAAAAGGAGGAGCTGTGGTGTCCGTTTATTCACCCCGTCCCACCCCTTGACACCTTCTGTCTTAGTTATCTCTCTTTGTTAATACTGTTAGTTAGTAGGTTAGTTCAAAATCATGTATAGGTATCTGGGGGAGCTCGTCACCCGCGCGCTGGCCTCGGGGTGCGTTGACTCCGCTTTGCCTGCTTCCGCGACTCTCATGCGGATCCGCCGTTACAGCGAAGCCGTGGGAGAGAAAGACGATGACCCGAACTTCTTTAGGATGGTCGAGGGTTTCTTCGACCGCGGAGCTTCTATCGTGGAGGACAAACTCGTGCACGATCTCAAGACGAGAGAAACGCCCGAGCAGAAGAGACACCGAGTCCGGGGGATCCTCAAGATCATCAAGCCCTGCAACCACGTCCTGTCCGTGTCATTCCCCATCAAGAGAGACAACGGGGAGTGGGAGATGATCGAGGGCTATAGAGCTCAACACAGTCAGCACAGGACCCCGTGTAAAGGAGGCAAGTTCATGCATTATTTACACAGGCGTTAATAGGAAGCAGTCGCGCTCTCGAGAGAAAACAGATGCAAACTAAAACACATCTCACTTACCTGTCAAAGCATCTTTGTGACGACGTGTTTCTGCGTGTGCCCAACACATTTATTTACACGCTTTGTCTTTTAGAGTGCTAAATGATAGGCCTTGCGTGCCACGAACTTGGAAAAAAAACATCCCATCTCGCGGTTGTGCAGCAGCGACACTCTGCGACTCTTGGCGTGCAAGCGTTACTGACACGGAGTTTGAAGCTTCACAATGAAGTCAATATGCAGCGTACTGTAGCTGCCAGCTGGTAATAAAACGGCTAATATTTAGGTGTTATATCAGAATAAACTGGTTTCGTTGATTTATCTGGTCCAAACCTGTCATTAGCTGGTCTAATGTGTACATTAGGTAGGCTAAGATGGTCACTAGCCGGTTTGTTGTAGCATATGACCAGCTTGTGCACTGTTTCCCACTTTTTAAAACTACGACAGCTTCAACTGTAGAAAGACCAATAATATAACTTGCATCCCATGTACTTTAACCTCCATTTTAAGTGGTCTAAAGTGCAGATGAGGTAGGCTAAACTGATCAACAAAGTTTTGAAGGAGATCTTATAATGTACACTGCCTGATCTTCTATTGAGTAGATTCAATGGGAGCTTTCAGTGAGACAGTCACTGAACTGATGTCTAGACTTTAAACTGTTAAGTTTATAAATTAGTCTAGTCAATGATTTTACATTGAGGTCTAGTAACTGGATAACAAGATAACACATCATGTGTTTTTGCACCTTGTGTGCTGGGAAGTCTCTGATTAAGCTAATGTATAAGAGCCCTCAAAGTCAGTTTTCATGAGGGAAGAGCTCAAAGTTGGCTCTTTCCTCCTCAGAAAAAAAGTTTATAGCTGTAATTTATCCTATACTGTTTTTTACTATTGGCTTATATAGGGGTATAGGAAACTAGGTAAAGAATAATATAACCTGCAATCTTATTCAGATCTTTGATTCAAAATGCAATAAATGAAGAAAAAACATTTAATATAATAGGTAAAAGGATGCAGACTTTGTTTGGACTCACTGAATATATACAGTAGTACATACTCATTCAACCAGATGCATACTGAAGAACCAACAAAACAGGCTTTTAAAACAATTAAAGTTTCCTTACTCACTTAGTCACCAATAAACTCAGTAAGGAGACTGTTCTTTAAAAGCTTAGTTCACCCAAAAGTGGAAATATTGTTATAATTTTTGTTATTGTATTCAACCTCAAGTTATTCTAAACCTGTATGAGGTTCTTTCTTCTGTTGAGCACAAAAAAATATTTTGAAGAATGTTGGTAACCAGACAGGGAGTTGCTAGTACTCATTGACTTTCATAGTATTTTTTCCATACTTTCATAGTAGTTTTTCCATTCAATGGATGTCACTGGCTACCATCAACTTTTGAGGGTGAATAAATAATGAAAAAAATAATAATTTTTGTGTGAACTATCCCTTTAAATCTGCACTAATAACTTTATTTGATGTTAGTAGTAATTTGAAATGAATTACTAGCTCATCATCCATGAATTTAAGAAACTTGCCAGTGCTGTCCAAGCAGTGCTTTTGAGGCCGACTGAAAACAGAGATGTTTAGTTTGGGGTAGTCACATTGGCTTTAACCACACCCAGTCTGGGCCCTGCCTAGATTCTCTTCCCTTGTATTTCAGTGGAGAGAGTGAGTCATCACGGTGGTTGGTTTACTGCCTGTTCAGCCACACAAAATTTCCCCTCTCAGAACTGTAGACCTGGGCCCGTATTCACAAAACATTTTATCTTACCACTAAAAGTTCTCCTGAATAGCAGTAAATGTTTTTAGTTAAGAGTTTTCTCTTAAAACCTATTCACAAAGCTGCTGAGACAAACTTTTACTAAGGAACTGTCATTTCACAGATTTAGAACTAGTTTTAGTGCTAAAACGCTTTGTGAAACACTCTTTTAGGAGTCCTAAATTTAGGACTGACACGGCCATTATTTTTAAGATTTTCCCCTAAATCAGTGAGTTATGAGCTACTTTTAGCCTTAAGAGGTTTTGTGGATATGGGCCCTGTTTTTATTTTTTATTTTTGTGCAAGGCCGTTAGAGCAGTTTAATTTTCCAGACGTCCTACTCTAAACAGCATATTAGTCTGGATCATCAATGTTATTTTAACTGATAGACAAGGCCCACTTTTGCAGTGGGCAAATATTTGCCAGCTTTCATTCTATTATTTATTCTTTTTTTTCCCCAAGAGCTTTCAAACGCCCTAAAGTGTCGAATTATATAAGCACTCAAGTAATATAAAAGGTTATCAAAGTGTTGTAGTCTGTAAGCTTTAATCGATAGAGAATATCCTGTCTTAGCATCATAAAACAAGTTAAAACAAAGGCTATAATGCATGTGATTTATTTTGATGCTTGTTTAATGACTTGAGTGATCTACAGATATTATTTGCATAGACCTAGTCTGATGAGGACACTGCTTCTGCTTCTCCAGGTATCCGTTACAGCACAGAGGTGTCAGTGGATGAGGTGAAAGCCCTTGCCTCACTAATGACATACAAATGTGCAGTTGTAGGTAAGTGCTTAAATTTATTTATGTGTAAATTTATTTGGTTGCGGTTGTTAGTATGAACATTTAATCATTCACATGAACTGTGCTCTCAACAGATGTGCCTTTTGGAGGAGCTAAAGCGGGGGTGAAAATTAACCCAAAGAATTACTCCGTGAGTGTTTTCTTCATATTCTCTGACTAAATATAATTTTGGAAGATGGCAAGAGACATTAACTTCAGATATTATGACTCTAATAATAAATGCTCTTGCAGATGAATGTCTAGATATGTATTTAGAGTCTGTCCCCTTTAGATGATGTTGAATATTTTATGACATTGTTCTAAAAAAAGCAGTAAGATGTAGTGTTTTCACTAAACACAGATAATGCTATTATTGCACAGATATTCAGAAACTCTAGAACCAACCAGATTCAGGATGTTGTTTATTTCATGACTTGTAAAGTGAAATCCTACAGGGTTTAATATCTGTTAAGGAGACTGTTTGTGACTGTTCTTTATTTGTTTGTGTTTTATCATTGGTGGATTAAACATGCAATTTTGAGTTTAGCTTTCAGATGACCGACTCCCCATCTACAGCCGAAACAACGAATGCTCAAGCATTGCTTTCTTAATGTATACTTCCATATTGTTAATCAAATTATAGTCACCGATGTCCTGCCATTTTTTTTGTTTTGTTTTCCTTACTCAGGACACAGAACTGGAGAAGATTACAAGAAGGTTTACTATTGAGTTGGCTAAAAAGGGCTTCATTGGTGAGTTATGAGCATGCACAAACTGAATCTGCTCCAGAGTTCTGCAAAAGATCAGCAGAATCGAAATGCCCATCATGCACAAAAGTCTGTGCATCCCTCATTCCTTGTGGATGTTTATGGAATAATTTTAACAATTATGCACTCATCTACCAATAAAAGCATAGTCCTCTGTTTAACACATTTTAAGATTCAGTAAAATTCTGCAGAATGTCCCCTAGTATGAGTGCTGAAAATGCTAAATAAGTCTGCTAATTATGAGGCAGTGCATGTTACAGAAAAGTTTTTTTATATTTATAATGTATTTATAGTAATCAGTAGTTTATCAATATTTGTTGATGCCAAATGACATCTGTTTAGCATATTTTACTATTTAGAATAGAATAAAACAGGAATTGTACGGAAGATTAAACCACAACACAATAACACTCAGGAACAATAGTCAGGTAATGCTTAGCATCAGATGGCACAGTAAAGATTAACAGTCAGGCTGTAATTGACACCACTTCTACATTACAAGTTACAGTATTTAACCTGTAGCCCAAAAGCCTAGATGAGCTGTATTCATATTACAATAGTTTAAAGAGCTTGTAAAAGAGCCAATTTTCCTTAGGTAGTTGGTGTTTTTGAGTGCAGGATTCCCACATTGCTCTCTGTCAGTGTAGCTTCTGTCAAAATACTGTGCAGTGACGCAGTAGCCATAATGTCTTATGAATATATTATCACAGAGGTTTTTATGATTGACATTAACTGTGTCGAGATATTTGAGTTAAATAAATGAGTCATGGCCATGGGAAGGGAAGATCAGTAGCACACTCATTTCTGTTTCCTGTGTCAGGGCCTGGCATTGACGTCCCCGCACCGGACATGAGCACTGGAGAAAGGGAAATGTCCTGGATCGCTGACACATATGCTAACACAATGGGCCATCATGTAAGTTGAAGAACCTGATCAAGTGTTCATATAGTTTACAACAGGTTTGCTTTAGCAAAATGTATAAGAAAACAATTGTATTGTTTGACATGCTACATTATTGTTACAGATCATGCCACTGACATCACATGCAAGCAGTGATATTTTAATTGATGCTGATAGATTTCTTCATTTTTTTAAATTTAATATGCCAGCTGAATAATCAGCACGATAATAATGTAGACGTCCCATAGCATATAGCGAAAGCCCATAAAGTACTTGAATTTATCTTCACACTGTAGTTACATTGTTATTTCTGATAACCAGAGGTATCTGTTTAAGAGAGAGTTTATTTTAAGATAAATGTACTTATACATTATTTCATTCTTGTTTTATTTTATAACTGTTGTTCTCTTGATTTAAAGCACTGGTTAACTGTGTTGTCATGGTAGTGGATCACATGCATTCTGAATTTGGTAGCCATATTATAATTTAAGCTATAGTTGTTTTATCTATTTTTAGTATTCAAAATACATTTAGCAGCAATGATGTTGTTGTAATATTTGCAGTTGTATTCTTTCTTAATTCTCTTTGCATAGTGAATGGTTATTAGTCTTGTTTGCCATGCATATATTTATATATATATATATATATATATATATATATTATATATTTAAGCCATCTTACATGTTGATGCTTTTGTCTAGCTGACTGTAAACAAGACATACTTACTTTGGTTTTCTAAAAGTAAGCTAAAAACTAAACTTACTCAAAAAGTTAACACTCTTTTGCTGCCTTGCAAACACTTGCTTCAGGAAATTCAGATCTAGTTTCTCCCAAAGACACATTTCATAGCATAATATCGTAGATAAATAAGCGCATACAGAAAATTTGATGCATACATTACCTTGAAATGGGGCAGTGATTTCTATTAAGCTTTTACATATGTTGAAAAATCACACAGGATATCTGTAAGAACTAGCAAACAGATTGTGGCTGTGTTGGTGACTCAGTGCCCAGAGCCTTTACTGTCCCTGACAAAGAGCGTGGTGTTTATAGGACCAAGAGAACAAAGCGCCCCTGTGTTTTTCCACCCTCTCCTGACAGACTCCTTCAATACTGTCTGTCCTCCCATGGCAGTCATTTGCTTTGTCTAGGTAGCCACGATGTTCTGTTCTGTTTGCGAGCTGCCCTGTAGCGAGATAAATGAAAGGACATGAGAGATACCTTACACTGAATACTCATATCGCTAGTAATCACCAGCTTCTAACACTAAAGATATCGTAGCTTTGTGCCTCATAATAAGCATTACAGTTTAGATTATTTTGTTTGAATGCAAACAACATTCTTCTAATGCTTAGAATTATAATTCTTTTTTAATCAGGATATCAATGCTCATGCCTGTGTTACCGGTAAGCCCATCAGTCAGGGTGGAATCCATGGGCGTATATCTGCCACTGGCCGTGGTGTCTTCCATGGCATTGAAAACTTTGTCAATGAGGCTGCTTACATGAGCCAGCTGGGCCTGAGCCCGGGGTTTGGAGACAAGACATTTGTCATTCAGGTTTGTGCATGTCAATAACACATAAACTGCACTTCAAGTTTATGACATTATGCTTTGTTTTTTTGTCATATCAAATCAGTTGGATAAAGAATTTTTCTTGTTATGCATTGGCCCAAAATGCACTAGTAACTCCAAACTTTGGATTTTTAATATGATATAAGTACTATTGTATATTATTCTGCTGTCATGGTGGAACTTACAGACACTACAGTCCATTATCTCATGACTCTGTGCCAGCAGTTAGTGTACGCTGACACGGATCATTCTGACTTTGCTTATCTAAGGACTTTAAATATTCAGTGTGTGCTTTTAGATGCCCAGTCAATATTTATAAAGAAAGCTTAAAAGTGTGCGAAACCAGCAAATGTTACACTTCCTACATAAATTATTAAAAACTCATTACTTTTACCATGTGTTGCGACATGTCAGAGAAATAAATATATATTGCAAAATATAAGAAGAAGTAATTGGGACAGGATGTAGGTTTTTTCATGTGGTATATTTCATGGAATAATAATGGAATATTGTGCTTTTTTTCTTCAAAGACAATGCCAAGAGCTAAATTGCTATTTTTTGCAGCATGAACATGGTTTAACCCATTTATCTGGTGCTAAATACAAGTAGAAATAAGCCATTTTATTTTATTTATTATTATTATTATTATTATTATTTGTGTGTGTGTGTGTGTGTGTGTGTGTGTGTGTGTGTGTGTGTGTGTGTGTGTGTGTGTGTTCAA